CACAGTTTTATATTCAATGTTATCTCGTCAGCTTCCACCGATGCACTGTCGATCGAACCTCTTCAGAACCAGGATCTTCGGGAAACATTGGCTATGAAAATTGACTTGGATGTCAGCAAGAAATCACGAGAAACCGCGACGAAGCAGAAAAATTGGATATTGTGAATGAGGATTTCCGAACGCACCGGATACTTTTCGACTGCCATCTCTTTACAGACCCATCCTCTCTCTTTTGCCTCTTCGAAAAAGCGTAGATCTCGGTCTGCATACTTGGGAACATGGTGACTGTAGAACACAAGCACAGCTGGTGCAGGCACGCTTGCCTCATCTTCATCGAGCTTATTGGACGCATGTGGCGCTAGGGTGTCTAGGCAAGATTTCAAGAGAGCGATGTGCTACAAAATAGTGAGATCAATGAAGATAACGGGTAAATTTTGGGAAAAAAACCTGTGAGTGGTTGAAGACGAGATCCGAGAGTATAATCAGATCAAATCCCCGCACAGGGCTTGACTTTGGTAACAAGTCAAGCAGTGGCGAGACCGTTTGACCCCACCGAAATTCCTGCGCACCCGTCAGTAACCCATCAGAATCATAGTACATTGTCACTTGCAATCGCGCTGATGCGATCTTCAGAGTCATGGCCATCTTCGCCGTAAGGTCGCGAGATCCCGAAGTTCGCCTTGATGTTGTCCTTGAGGTTATTAATCAATGGCTCGTCGTAGTCGGTCAGGACTACCTTCAATGCGGTCGCACGGTGAATGAGTTTCCCTCCTTGTTGATAAAAAGGAGAGCTTTTTACCTTCCGCGCCCCGTTCTTGGCAGCGACGATTCCAGGGAGACCACCTCCCGCTCCTAGCTCTAGTACGTTCCGCCCACGATAATTTTGCGGATTTTCATCAAGGAAAGTAGTGAACGCGCGAGCCGCGTTCCATCTGCAAATCCACCTTCACGAAAGCTCGCAGAAAAGTGAAAGGCGCTCACAGATAGTGGCCCCAGAGCTCGGTCTTGCCTACGAGCTTGATTTCGATTTTATCCCAGTCATTGTCGGCTGCGATGTCAGGAACTGCTTTTTGAAATGCTTTGTGCGATTCGGGATCGCGCTCATAAATGGTCACTGTAGGCTCCGGAGTTGGAGGCCTAGGAGGTTCCTGTGATTGGCATATATCTGATTAGCGCCTTTATTCCTCATTGCCCGTCATAGCCAATGTGGTCATTAAGTCCCAAGACCACATGTGCAAATTTAGTCAGTCCGGCAAAGAAAGAAAGAAAATCCCCTGTTCATTCCGCAAGGGATATGTTCTTAGAGATTTGAAGCCACCAAGATACTCACGGTGAATATGTCGCTGAGCGACAGGTCCGGATCCTCTTCATCGATTGGCGGCATCGAGGTCTGGAGATAGTGCCCATTTAAGGGGGCGGAGTGGACCATTCAGGAAATGCACAAACATGCGCAAACAAAGGTCCGACCAGTGGCCGATAGCGCACTGACTCCAGTGCCACTTTCCTTAGTCCAAGTTATGGACAGCATTAAGTATCGTACCAACCGCATTTCTCTTGGGCAGGACAATAATTGGCTTCTCTCCAATCGCACCTTTGTTCTTAGCTGTGCGACAGGTGATCCAGCCCTCATACTTGCCACTGGGTCATGACTCTTGAACCCAATGCATTGGTCCGCGCGTCAGCATTGCTCTTTTGGAGATACGCATAACTACTAGACGATTGCTTGTGGGCTGCTAGGGTCTACACCATTCTTTCTTTAATACTCGTGATGCTCTATAGCAGCTAGCTTACTGCTATTCCGGTCAGTGCTACGACTCCGCTGTTACCTGCTATGGCCCTCATCGTGTCACCGCTCGTGGAGCATGTGTCAGGTACGCACATGAGCCCCGGTGAAACTTACACAGCACATGATTATATGCATTGCTGGTCCAAACATGCAATCGAGTTTTTAGGATCCACACACCGTCTACTTTCCCTATCCTCTATCAGGAGAGCGTATTTCATTTCGCCCCCTATCGGCCATTTTTGCTTATCATATCTCTCAGCTTGTCCAAGACATCGTCACTGCACTGCGCCGAACCCCTCTTTCTAAAATCTGGATGGACAATCTCGGTTCGTCCTCGCCTCGAGTTCGGTTAGACCCTATATATCAAACATGTGAGTCCCCTTAATGATACTGTAATGATTGACTTTTATGCTTTGCGAATCGCGAATTGCGATTCACGACCGCCTGACTACAATCTACGTTCCTATCTCAAATCCGCTCTCTCTACGATAACATGACCTTGTGATTGCGCAACATTTCAACATTTCCTCGACGCTGGTTGATATATTCCGATGATTGCCCTTTTTTCCATTCCATTTGCAAGCTCATACTGGAGTATCAATGCGGTTCCTCATTTCATTTCCACATGCCAGTGTTCGGTACTTTGACATCGTCCAGGCCCTTGTCGGAAGTACGGGCCGCAGTTAGCCCAGCAGTCTCCTATCCTGTGCCACGGACCACACTGTTGGGGTAATAAAAGAGCTCGTTCATCATACAGATGTCCGGCAGCTTGCATCACAGGCTCTAGATGCATTAAATCCCGTGATTGCCATTTAGAATTGCTGGGCCATGCTAGCGCTGCCAGCAGCATCCAGCTATAGCCGGCTTCGGAATCCTCGTGGAGATCGGGGCCGACCTAGCGGTGTACGGGCTTGTACGGCCCTTGGACCTTTGTCCCTTGGTACACACACGGCAAATGGTGAGCCTAGGCCCGTGTTCCTCGCTTCTGATACAACATCTCCTCTCGGGTGCAGACTAGGACTGGCGAGTTAATAGACCGTTGCACTTCGAAGATGTATGCATGCATGCATGTATGTATGTATCGCATACGATTAGAGCAATGCGCCCTAATAGTCGGTCTCCTTTCCAGTAATTTCAATCGGACCGATCGATTGTCGCAACGCAAGGATAGCATATCATTGGTCAATACTCTCAACGTTGATTTGAGTCGACAACTCCGAGTTGGCCTAATTTGAAAGTGATGATCATGAATCTAGACCTTGATGCAAGCGAAGACACCGCGGTACCCTGAATTCTTGTTTGCCATGTTGCCATTTTTGACAGTCCCGGAGACTGGGATACGATTGTGTCATGCAGCGGCGTCGCAGGGCGTGGCCCCTGTTTTATATAAGGAATCTGTCCATTGTTCGAAAGAACCACAGGATCGGGCAGGGTGCACCTCAGAGCATATAAGTCGAGGTTTTGGAACGAAGCAATTGCTCAGAGACACTTTCCCTCACGTAGCCACCCACATTTTCAGGCATAAACGTAAGCCCACGTGGTTTCTCACAGACGCGACGCTGAATTTTGCTTTGCGTTCCTCCTGTCCCACTTCATTCTGTTCACCCAAACTACCATGTCTACCTTCATTC